TTACTATTACATAACAAATGACAAAAAATACTTATCATTCGTTTCTATAGAAAAAAAAAAATAACGTAATTACCGATGGATAGGTTGAAAACATATTTTTCGAAATAAGTTGTAAATTCATTAAGAAAAATATGTTGCAATAAGATCTGACTATCATAGTTTTATGTATAGATATTACATCGCAAACCGTAACAAATTGATATATTACCATAGACCTAGAATGTACTTTCAAAGAAACAAAAAAATTATTGATTTTTATCATAGATTGGAAAAGAATAAAGGACGCGACAGCCTTCCCTTCCGTATTTGGATATAACCTTGATAATAGAGCGATAAGTACGCCCATTTGTTTTTTAGATTGTTTTCTTCATAGGTCAAGAATATATCGACAAGTAGAAATAGATTGTCTGATAAATTCAATAAGAAGAAATTTCTTTAATTTACTTGTCTTTACAAAGATAATAAGAAAGCTGAAATTATCTTAGAGATAAAAACTTGATGATATATTCAATCAAGATATTTTCTATAAAAATCATTTACTAGACGACGACAAGAACGATCGTAGACTTCACATATGTTGAAGATCATTGAGTCTGATGACATGTATCACTCTACCAGCGATCTTAAAGAGATGTGTACTAATGACCTCTCTCAAGTACATAGACCACAAACCGCATGAATAAGAAATTCAATTAAGAATCATTTAAAGCGATTGTCGTACATACATACACATTATTGTCAAAAATAAAATAAGTATAATTATCTCTTCTATCGTTCGTATTAAAACATAGTTACGATGTCATTCACTCTGTATATGTTTAAAAGACAAATTCATACACATATACACATTCTTTTTTTTTTTTTCTTCTCAAGGGAAATTACCCAAAGCATTACAAGCATTTACATTTCAATGAATGAGTGTTGGCTTCATTCCATCATAAATGTTAAAAAAAAAAAAAGACGGCACGCAACAGAAGGAAATATTTGTATGTGTCTATATTAGATGCACTTATGTCTACTCTAGAACGAAAAACAACAAGATAATCAGACAGACAGATGGATGCAAGAACCTTTTTTGTTTTTTTCTTCTCGTACTGCAATTATTTTTTGTTGTTTCTCATACGCCAAACAATAAACAGCTTAAAATACAGACGACTGTATGTATTCTATTTTCTCGAAAATGTTTCTATGAAAGACAATATTGACGATATACAAAACAAATGCACAATTGACATCTTAGAATTTGCGAATAAAAAAAGGAAAGAGCAGGTGTAAAAGAAAAAAAAACATATATATATATATATATGTATCTATGCCTTAACATGCACATCACTTACGTATTTTTAATATAAGAATACAATATAAGTTGTGATGGAAGAAGAATAAAGAAAAAAAAAACCGTATTACTGAAAAATAATGAAGTGACATATAACTGTGTGTATGACGTAAATAGAGTCATACGAGACATAAGTATATTAATGTTTGTATTTTGTTTTTTTGTATACTACGTACTTTTGTTATAAATCGTATTGTTATTTCTCCTTCTCATTCTCCTATTGACCATCTGTATAGTTATTCATCAATGCTTTCCTCCTTTATGTAAACATAAATCAAAACAATGCCGATAGATAATAAAAGAAACAATGTTTATGCTAACGTACTTACCATAATATATATTTATGAAACAATGAAAATCTTTTTTTTTTAAATTGATGTAGAGTTTGTCTCATATGAATTGAATGAATATGAATTCACCTTTCTTTTCTTTTCTTTTGTCTTACTGTCTATATCTATGTCTCATGCTCTTTTGTCAACATAAAGTAGTCAGTCAGTAGTAGTAGTAGTAAGTAACAACAACAAATGAGAGAATGAAAGAATGAGTATGATGGTCGAGAATTAGGTGACGAGTGTGAGTGCGTTTGCTTGACGTTGTTGTTTTTGTTGTTAAAGCAAACGACGCAAAAATCAACACACATACACATACATATACAATATTATGAGAAAGAAAAAAATCCATGTTGTCTTTATATATTTTTAAATCACCTGACTCAATATATGACATCATTTCATTGAAATCAATTGAAATAATATTGTTTTTTTTTTCATTTTCAAGGGCAAAAACTATATTTCTATATATATTGGTTTTTTCTCCTTATATAATAGACTTTTGTTGAGATATTTATCATTCGTACAGAAAAAACAACTCTATTCTAGACATATCGAATATAAAGAAGATTGTGTCTGGTATAAATTTCTTCCGATACATAATTTACATCAAGGACATGTAATTACAATTTCTTTTATTCTTTATTTATCTTATTTTGAAAAGTGTATATTATATCTTAGGACTCAATGTACTAATCTAGACATAATCTATTAAATATTACGTCGTTTACTTAATGAAAATGTTTGTTCTTTTTTCTTAATCATTTATGCATTATTCTTTTTACTATAGTAAATTAATTAACAGTCAAAACATTTGAATATATATATATAAGTTCATGTCAGGGTAGCGTATAGAATATCTCAAAATGGATAAATAACTGACAGATGGTTAGTCAATGATTTGGAACATAGACACTACAATAGACAATGTCACTTCATCATGCGAAATGAAAGGCGATAATAGGGTGAATAGTTCTTAACGATTGACTGCTATTCATTATGTGAGATATATTAATGCATAGTTTTATGGTCAAATGCCGACTATGTACAAAATATACATTTTTGTACAATTAGTACAATATGTGTTTATTTATTTATCTATTCGAGAATGAATACAGCCAGAAACAAACTTATTGGGTTAATAAAAATATTTGAAAGAAAAATAACTTATTTGACATCAAATATCGGATAAGTCAAAATGATTACAACATGGGATATTTTGTAAATATCTTAATATAGACAAAAGTCAAATTCTCTACAAGAATAGCAATCAAAAATTCCATTGATTTTCTCATAAGATTAAAAAAAGTGAAGCACTGTGTAATGGTCAACTATACTTAAAGAGTGATGGTTCTCTAATTCATCTAACTTAAATCTATTAAATTATTTTATATAGAATCATGTCAATCAGAACATTGATTATCAAAAGATGAAAACAAGATAAAAAAAAAATTAAATTTTATGTTTGCAGGATGATCGACTGTTTTCTTCAAAGAATCGATGCAATTGAACAACATAATAACGATCATATTTTCCGTGGATATTCATGATTTTTATATTATTTCACTTCAACTTTTGTTTTTACAAAGTATATCATGATATTATTCAAAAATTTGTTTGAAATAATAAGAGAACTTTTTTTTTTAATGTTATTTTCATTTTTACCCTTATAAGAAAATCAATGGAACTTTTCTTATAGAGAATTGGACGGTGTATCTTTTAAAAATAAAAAATTCAATGTTATAGAATTTGTCTGTATTAAGATATTTACAAAATATTTAATGTTGCAGTTATTTTGACTTATTTGATATATTAAAATACAATTTCACTATAAAAAAAAACAGACTTACTGAATCTACGATGGAGTTTATTTGGTAATATAAATAATAATGGTTCCATTTAATAGTTTGTATGATAATAATAATGACTATCAATTTTGCAGAAAAAAAGGAAATGATGTACTTGTATGTGTTGTAATAGTTTGTTCAATGATGTATAAGACATATGATATAAGAAAACTGTTAAAGAGAAACAATAAAAAGGACGACTAATAGAAAAAAAACAATGGATAAACTAGAATGATCTTGTTTGGTTAAAAGCAATAAAAATGATCCATTACCGTTTAGAATGAAATAGACTAAATGGCGTGTATATCTTCCTCTGAATTACCGTATTTTCTTTTTCTTCTGTCTATGAACAGTTAAAATATGTTTCCCTCGATATGTTTGCAGTTCGAATAAATTGCGCATATAAATTTTTATTGTTTATTCAATGTCAATTGGTGCATCGGTTTCTATTTCGTTCGTCTAAGTATTTATACATATATATAAATTAAGAAATACTAAATGACGTTATTCTATGAATGTTGTATTGTCTTTGACAATAGAAAAAGTATGCACTGAAACAAAAAAATTTCATTCCTGGACTTTGTACTTTCTTTCTTATCACATGTTTTTGAATGATCAGAATAAATGTAATTTTACTGTCCGACATATTTTACATGAATTGAATTACATAGATGAAAATAGAATCAATTGATAAGAAATTTATGCTAAAAAAAAAACCACAAAATTAAACAGCATAGTATATGAGCTAAATATTTTCAAATATCATTTAAAAAGATAATAAAAAATAGATTTATCTATTTAGATTTTGATAAACTATAATAGATGAATATCTCTATTTTTCTATTAGGAGAAAATCAAGAATATGAATTATTATGGATCATTTATTCATATGTACATTAGTTTAAAATAAAGTTGACAATATAGTCAGATTTTTTAATACTCGAGGATTATTAATTATTCTAAGTTTAAGTACAGAAAGGTTATGATACTTTTGTATATTGATCTGAGTACAATATCTTTAGGAAAAGATTTGCAAGATTTTCTGTTCAATAATAAATTTGAAAAAACAAAAAAAAAAAAAACTTGCCAGTCTATTATCTAGATTATTAGATTTCATATTTCGTCAAGAATAAATTTATTTTAGAGTTGCAAAAAGAAAATGAAATTAATTGAAGTGAAAGAAAAAAAAAACTTATTTTCCTATGATTTTTTTGAACTTCTTTCGATAGAAATATTCTAATACTTTGAACACACTTGATATTTTATATTTGAAGATGTTTTCTTTTTGTCTTTTGAAAAAAATACACAATAGCATTTCAAAATACAACATTGAAACAGATGCGCCTATTTGTTATTATTAAAACAGATTAAAATAAATCTTGATGTTCAATATGTAGAAATTTCCAGTAGGTTAGTTTAAGAAGTCAAATTTTTTATTTAAGATAAAGAAAAATAAAAGCAACAAAATTCCATTAGTGTCAATATTACTTATATAGATAGTTCTTTCATATTGAATGAATTTGAATATTTTTTATCAGTTAATGGAATGCCAATTGATATTGTTGTTTGATCATTTTGACTCAATCGATTTCTTGTTTCTGTTTCATTTTGTTCTGTTTGTCGTTTAACTAATTGATAATATAAACCATGTTTATTCATTAAATCAACATGTGTACCTTCTTCAACAATTTCTCCATATTTAATAACAATAATTTTATCTGCATTACGAATTGTTGATAATCGATGAGCTATAACAAGTACTGTACGACCAATAACTGTACGAGCTATTGCTTCTTGTACCTATAAACAATAAATTATATATTTAAAGTAAATCAATTGACTAAGCTGTCGTCACAACATGAAAATAGATATTAGAATATTATTTTTTCATTTCAAAAATTCCTTGAAATTAAGAGAATTTAAAATGAAAAGCATAAAAAAAGAAAACTTTGCATCACTGCTGATTAATGCATCAACTTCCACCTCTATAACCAAGAAAGAATTACTTGAGCTTCAGCTTCAGCATCTAAAGCACTTGTAGCTTCATCTAATAATAAAACATTTGGTGAACGAATTAATGCTCTTGCTAATGCAATTCTTTCTATCAAAAAACAAAAGAAAAAAAATTTCATAGATTTGAATTATAAATTTCGATAAAAACACAAACGTTTTTGTCCACCAGCCATTTGTACTCCACGTTCACCACATTCAGTTTCATAACCATCTTGAAATTGTGATATAAATGAATGAGCATTAGCCATTTGAGCGACATATTCAATTTCTTCTTGTGATTTCTTTTCTGTAAGACCATATTGAATATTATCTTTAATTGAACGAGCATGAAGAACTGGTTCTTGACTAACAAGTGAAACCTATTGATTTTTTTTTTAAATATTAAATTAAATAAAAGAAAAGATTTGTTTAAAAAATAAAATAAAATAAACCTTTTCATGATAAAATTTATAATCATAATTTTGAACAGGTATATCATCAATTAATATTTGACCTTCATCGGCTTCATAAAAATGTTCTAATAAACTAATACATGTTGTTTTTCCGCCTACAATAAATTTTAATAAAATATAAAAAACAAAATAAAACTTCATTCGGATTTCTACTAGATTAACTTTATCATTAGTTATATTGATCGTTTTCTTTTACATATGTGTACTTCCTTCTATTTCAATATGATGCATGACATTAGATATTTTTAATTATAAAGGAAACAAATATAAGAGTTGACGAAATGAAATGCAATTTCCCTAAGTATTTTCAATGATATATTAAGAAATTGAAGTTGTACTAGTTCTCTTAGATTAGAAATTTGTTTTTTTTTTTTTTGTTTTGTATAGTTTACTGTTCGACAAAACTCTTAGAACTAATCATAGATCGGTAGAGTGAATTAATCCTTTCTAGATATTGTCTTATGTTTAAAGACTCAATAAAATAATTTTTCGATAAATACAACTAATCAAAAATCTTACTTCCACTTGGTCCAACAAGTGCAACTTGTTGTCCAGGTTGAACAGTAAATGAAATATTTTTTAAAACTTTATCAGTTTTTCTATTTGGAAATGAAAATGAAACATTTCTAAATTCAATACGTCCTTGAAAATTATTCGGTTTTTGAATTCCATTATTAACAATTTTTGGTATTCGATCAATATATTCAAATAATTTTATTGATGCACCACTTGCTTTCATTAAACCTGTATAAACATCATTAATTGACTACAAAATAAAAACGAAATATTTTGAAATAATTTTTCAAAACAAAAAAAAAAAAAAAAACAAATTTTTACATTAAGAACATCGCCTAATCGTTGTTGATATAAAACAAATGAAACAAAATTGGAAACATTTAATCGATTATTCATTACAATATAACCACCGTAAGCAAGTGTACCTAAATTAAGTATTACAATTAAAATTTGTGCATTCCACATGTAACCAAAATCTAATAAAATAAATTAGAATAAATATTTAAATGAATAGTATATTACAATAAAATGCTTGTCGAATTGCATATTTTCGAACAATATCATTTTTTTTATGAAATAATTGAGCTTCTTCATCTTCGTCTAATTAATACAAAAAAAAAAAAATAATTACAAATCAATTGACTATGTAAAAATAAACAAAAACATTTTACTTGCAAAAGACTTTACAGTACGAATAGTGGAAATCACTTCTTCAGCTAAAGCATTGGATTTAGCTATTGCATCTTGAACTTTCTGTTGTTGCTTCTATATGATTAAAGAAACCAAAACAAAAAAAAAAAAAGGATAATTTTTTTCCATAAGAATTCAAGTTATATTTACACTCATAAGATCTCCATAAATTTTAGCTGTACCAAATGCTAATGGACCAGTTATCAATATCAGTAGAAATAAATTCCATGATAGTATTAACATCATAATAGTGGTTCCAACTAAACAATATAAATAGACATTTTTTTCAATAAAAAGATTGATACATCATCATTTTCTTCTTTAGTAAGTCTCTTTAGAGAAATCCATTCTTTTGATATAAAATCTACAAACAATATAACTAACGAGGGAACGCATCCAAGTGTGACTCATCAATCGAACTGATAAGGAAAGAAAAAGAAATCCCAATGTTTTCAATATTCGACATGTCAGGAACAACATATTCTTTTAGGTTGGAATTTTCAGAACATTATAAAATTGACGAGATTTACTTGTGCACAAAGTTTTAGATTGGCACTTCGAACTTCGATTAGTTCACTAATGCCTTATTACAGATTAAATTTATTAAAATTGTAATACTTGGGAAGAATAGCGCACGAGAACAAAACTTTATAGATTTCTGCTAGTCTCATCAGAACTTACGTATAACTTCTATAAAGCTTTCTGGCAACAGAATGAAAAAATTTTTGTCAGTCTTATCTTCTGTTCAGAGCTGCAATTTAATAAGTATTGACAAAAGAAATCATTATAATTGGAGTTTGTCAACTTTAGAAAAAAAAATCAAACTTCTAATACTCATAAGAGTATTCTATAAAGCATTTCCGTACCACTACAGTAACAAAATGCGAGAGAATTCTTAAGAGAGAGTTGCTAAAATAGAATAAGCCTAAAAAAAGATTTCTGCTCATAGGTCTACTCTACAGAGTTACGAAAGTTTTGCGGAATTTTTACTCATGGGTGGGGTATTAAAAAGAAAATTCAACAAAACATTTTTTATTTGAAAATTTTATCTATAAGTAGATGTTATGATCCTAAGGGTATTTTAAAAGTATAAGTCAAAACAATTGCTTCCTTCTTGAAATATTCAACGTAAAAACAAACCAATGATTTTTCTGCAATCCAATTATCTGTTTTTTAGCACTGCAGATTTGAAGAAGGAAATAATCATTTTGACTAAAACTTTTAAGATATTCTTAGAATCATAAAACATATAGACAAAATTTCAGATAAAAACTGTTTTATTCAATTCCCCTCCTGATCATCCATCCAATAGTAAAAATTCCGCAAAACTTTCGTAACTCTGAAGAGAACACCTATGAACACGAATCATTTTGGGTTTATTCTCGCTTAGGAGTCTTCTCTATATGTTCAAACAATGAGCTCAGAAGTGATGAAACACGTCGAGCGATTTCTTTATTAATGAAGAAAATCTAATATTTCTTCCAATACAATCATTTAATTTTTAATTTTCATGCATCGACACTCACTTGCTTGAACCATGCTACGTAAAAATATATTTAAATTAACCGAAACAGCTTCACCAACTGTTGTTATATCTGATGATAGACGAGAAGTTATTTCACCTGTTTTAGTTTCATCAAAAAATTCAATATCTTGTTTTACAATAGAAGTAAAAACCGTATCTCGAAGACGTTGAATTAAATTCGTACTTGTTATTGAAAAAATAAAACCACGAAGACCAGATGTAATTACACTGAATTCAAATAAAAATTTTATTTTTATTTTTATATAAATTAAAACAAAAAGAAACAAAAAAAAATCTTACTAAATAAGTGATATACCAAGATACCAAAATATACTCGTAATAAATTTATGCCAATTTTTATCAACAACAGAACTTATAATGCTGCCGGAGAAAAATGGTTGAAACATTTCACCTAAAACAAAAAAGAAAAGTACGAATATATATTTTCAATAGTTGTGCATAATTATCCTACCTAGCGCAGCACTTAATAAGAAGAAAAAACCCATAGCATAGAACTTCCATTCTTGTCTACCAAGTTTTACTATTCGCCACCATGAACTACCGGTTTCTTTTATTTGAACTCGAATGTCTTTGCTTTCCGTTTCATTAATAGGCGATGTTCCTTCAACTACACGACAAAAAATTATTCAAAAAAATTGTTAAGAGAGTATCCACGAGGAAACCGAGGCATTCTCCAAAATTCGTTTTTTTTAGTGCGTATTCGAAAGGATATCATCTAAAACCACGAAATACAAATGTTTAGTTTTCTATAGAAAAGTTAGCTTATATTAACTTTTTAGCACTACGAGCTTACTGTCCAGAAAATAGTCAACATCTTTCCAAATATGTCAAATTATTTTATGTCATATACAAAAAGATAGAGCAACAAAAACTGCAAAAAAAAGCAGCTATTTAAAATATTATATATTATCTATTTACTAGATCAACATGCATGAAAAAGATCTCAATTTACCAATTGATGAGGTTTAATTTTTGTCAGCATTTATGTTATCATTTTTTGAAATCAAAAGATGCCACATTGAATTTTTAGTATGTCGTGTAGCTTTTGATTCCTTACAAAATGATAAAAGAAACAATTTCTTTTCATCACGAAAACTAGCTTACACTAGAAGGTAGCCAGATAAACAATCTCAAGGAAAAAGATTTCAGATACTTTTGAGTGTCCTTCATGCAGGCAAGTTTTCATCTTTGAGAAATTATAACTTATAATTTCTCAAAGATGAAAACTTTCATGAATAAAGGGCACTAAAAAGTATTCGAGATCCTTTTCCTTGAGGCTGTTTATCTGGTTACTGCCAGTGTAAGCTACTTTTCGTGTTGAAAAGAAATCATTTTTTTTATCATTTTGTAGGGAATCAAAAGTAACATGATATATAAAAAAATTCAGTGTTACATCTTTTGAGCTCAAAAAAATGGAAGCAGATACACTGTCAGAAGTCGGATCTTATTGATTGATAAATTAATATCTTTTTCTATATGGTATCAAACAATTCACTCAATAATCTCAGTTGAGATATTTGGGAAGATTATTTTTTTAGCAGTAAACTCGTAGTTGTAAAAAGTTGGTGTAAGCTAACTTTTCTATAGAAGTTTTAAATGAGCTAAAAATTTGGGTTTCATGGTTTTAGATGATACCCTTTCAGATGCGCACAAAAAAAGACAAATTTTGACGAGTACCTCGTATGCTGGAGATATTCTTGATATTTTGAGAGAAGCTCTGTTAAAAAATCAATTACCATCTACAGCCAAGGGACTTGTTTCTTCAGTATATAATCGTCTTGGTGTTTCATTAATAAGATGTTGTCGTTCTGGATCTATCGTACGATTTACATGTTGAATATTAATAATTTTAAAAAATATAATCCATATTAAAATTCCTCCTAATGCTAATAATGGAATAAAAACAATAGCTAAACCATCGAATCGATCTAATTGATATGGTGAAGTTGATTCACGAATATTTCTCCATTCATAAAAAACAAGAAATTTACTTAAAGAATATGCATAAATCAATAATTGAAATAACATAAGAATTAAACGAATCCATCGAAAATATTTTAAACGTTGAAAATATTTGCATAGAGAAATACATGAAAAAAATATTAAAATAATAGAATCAATAAGTATAATAAAGTAAAGTTCAACATATGTTCGAGGATAATCAAATGGGTATAATTGATCAATTAAATTTTTTCGACTATCAGTAAAACCACGTGTGAATATGCATGTTATGACTAAAATCATAACAATACCATAGATGGCAGGGATTAAACGGAAAAATTTGTGATACGACATGACTAAATATAAAAAAAAAACAAACGAATTTTGTTTTATTTATATATTAGATAGAGAATTTATTCAATAGTAGTTTGTTTATTTTTTTACAATAAAATAATATAATTAACATAAAATTCGTAATTTAAAACAGCAGAAATGTTTCATCAGCATAGCCCTAAAAAGATTATTCTTGTTTTCAGCTATACATTTTATTCATAATTCAGATATTTTGAGACATGCATATGCTTATTTTTATCATTGATCTTTTTTCATGTACCACATGAGGCAAACGTTCTGAGACATTTTTTTGTCGTGTATGTATCTCTGTTTAGGAGTATGATACAACATTGACCATTTTGTTTTCAAACGACACGCCATCAAATGCTCTGCTTGGATGATATAAACAAATCTTTATAGCGATTTTCTAAATTTAAATACATAACTAAAACTGAGTCATGTTATTATCCACAAGGAAAAACTCATCTTTTGATTGACAACTTAGACTCTCCTCAGTCAAATTAATATAACATATCAACATTGTCCGAGATAGTGTGAAAAAAACGAAAAGATGTATCAATTCATCAATACTTCCTTTAAGATTAACACTGATTTATCTATAACATATTTTCAATTCAAGTTTTCATTATGTGATTTTGTTTGGTTAAGTTTAATTTTTTGTTCGTATTTCTTTTAACAGTTGAGAATGTTCAATCGAGGAACACAGGATTTAGTAATCTTCACAACAAGTTCACTGGTTGTAGATAATGTAATGGAGAACAAAAAGCAAAAGAAGTGTACTTTAGAGTGAAGCATCCAGACAAGTGAACGCAAACGTTATGTTTTGCTTGTATTTGAGATGAGAACAGGGTAATAATCATCATGTTTTGAAGGCCGTATTAGATTTCTGATTCGTTTCAATTGTTGCATTCAAAATGAATGAACAATACCGAAATTCAGAAATTTTCAGCTTTCTCATCATTTTTCTAGTAGAAAATGATTAATATCATGACACACATGTTTACTGTGTTAATAGTCTATTAAAGGTTAGATAATAGCTGTTAAGATTGGCTCGTAACATCCCAGTGGAACATTCAACAATGCATTTTTTGAAAACAAGTGACTAACGTTTTATCACGCTCCTGAACAGAGAGATTTCGGCAACAAAAACTATCGCAAAATTTTTTGATACACTCAGTAAATGAATGCCAACCAGACGTTTTAGTTTCATACTTCAAACAAAATCAATGATTAAAATTGCCTTATTAAAAATAAATAAAATAATATCATGCTTCAAAAATATAAACTACATTAAACTAATTTTCAATCTATGTTATTACTAAGTATAAAAATGATATAAAAACAAGAATGTATTCATTCCATGCTGATTCACTATTTTTTTAAATTCATAACAGTCTACTGTATTTTCTGTTCATGAATTTTTCTATATTTATAGGTGGATGTGGATATGAGTGTTCTCTTCGATAACACCCACACTCACACGTTAGTTCTATTTAGGAAACAGACAGTTGCTCGCATGGACAGTTGCCCGCGGACACTTGCTCGCGATTTATAAAGTAGAGAGAATATGTAATTCAAAAAACAAGATTAATTATGTATGGATAGGAAAAATACATGAGATTTGATTCAATTAATACAATAAGTAATGTTAATTGTAGAGAGTTTTCTTTAACAGTAAATCTATATTTTTTTATAGAAATTTTCGATCTTTGTATATTACGATCATTTTCAATCTTATACCACAAGAACTTAAAAACAGATGTTACAATAGAAAAAATACATGTTTTCTATCGTTCATGGTGTTCAATGTTAATAATGTACAAGTTATTGATATCACAGTTATTAATATCTTTTCAAACAATCCGTCGAAAAGAAACTCAAAATTGCAAATGAACATAATTTTTTCTCACTTTCATTCATTTTATAATTGAATATATATATATATATATATATATTTTCTGTTGAAAATATAGATTTATTGTTAAAGAAAACTCTCTACAATTAACATTACTTATTGTATTAAGATTAATAATGTTATGAGAGTGTGGGTGTAGATGAACACAAGACCAACAACCACACCCACGCCCTATTTCGTTGATTACAAGTTGTCATTATATTAGAACTGTCAATTGAAAAAATATTGGAACAATTAATCAATTAGTGTATGATGATGATCATTTTCCCATATAAAATTAATTTATTGTATCATTATTCTTTCATTATTTTATTCCAAATTTTTGTAAAAGTCTGTACAGCGAGCAAGTGTCTGAGCGAACAAGTGTCCGCGCGCAACTGTTCATGCGAGCAACTACCCTAGACCTGTTCGACAGCGCTTCCGTCATACGAAAGCGCTGTTATTATTTCACAAAATTCTATGTCAGCGAGCCAATCTAATCTTCAAACGATACATAAAAGTCTCCATTAGTTTAAAAAATACATGTGACAAGGAGTAATCGTGTTATTTTTTGTTTACATAGACGACGAGAGTTTAAACAAAAAAACAGTTCGTCTTGTTGACAAAGAAAATGAATAGTATTCATGGGTAACACAATCGACACATGTATATTCACATGTTGAGAATTTTTTCGAAAGTTTTATGTTTCAATAAAGCAAAATTTTATGTCTCGATTTCTACAGAACTCTACCAGTCCTTCAACAATGTGACTGATTCTATATCTACCGAATGATTGTTACATTTGAAATACGAAAAAGAATTAGACTTTTATAGAAGCTCTTGACTCTATCAATGCCACAAGAATATTTTTTGAATAAGATACTGTAATATTTTCTTGCTAAATCATCACAAATACAAACGATAATCATTTTCGACTCATTATACTATTGAAATAGTTTTTATGAAATGTATGGGATACAGATATTTCATAAAGTACCTGGTGACTACTTCTGGTTATGTCTACATTATTGAATTTCAAACTACTCTATTCAATCATATAGAATAAACAAAATTAACAGAAGAGGTGTAAAATATGTCAGTATCTATCTATAAAATCCTGTCAGTTTCACTGATATTACCATTATGCTTAACTAATGATGCTGTAATTGAACATGATGAATAAGCCAACATCAAACTCAACGTATTCGGGAACATAGAAATACTGACGTTTGTACCATTATCTATGCTAATAATCCTATATCATCGTTCTATTAGATATTAATATTTTGATGAAGTGCTAAATAGATCGGAAGACAGAAGTGTATATGTTAGAAATCAAATTAACTATGGTTAATTAGTTTTATATACATTATTTATCTGTTAAGATTTTGCTATTTTTTTAGAGCAAAATTTTCTCCAACTTATCAATAAACCTACCTATCGATCACATATAAAATCTGAACGAGATATATATAAAAGTTTTTCAACTTCATTCATACCTGTTTTCCATTAAGAATAAACTTTCGTTCATTATCTTCAAATGTAATTGTTATTCAAATGATAATCTTCAAAAAATACACACAATACAATTTATTATCGTTCAAAAAAAAAATCACATTAGTATTAAATAAATAAATAAATAAATAAATAAATAAATAAATACATAGTTGTTTTTCTTTTTACTCATTTTCATTACTTAAGAAAATTTCACATGCATTGAAAAATAATAGATATAAAAAAAAAACAAACAATGGAATCATGATATAAATCTTATTTATTTCATGAAAAATCACGATCAGGAAATATTACTGGTACAATACATGTCCAAACATATAACAGCACACACAACCAACTTGATGTAATTTTAACCCAGAGTGATGCTAAAGTATTATTATATGTACTAGAATCTTTTGCTGGATTATACCAACTGAAAATAATAAGAAAAAAAAAATATTTAATCATAAAATTAAAATAAAAAATAAATTAAAAAAAAAATCGTTTTCTGTGGAACTCACTTTATGTTTTCGAAGAAAAATATAGGAAGTTTTAAGTTGAGGTTTTTGTGGATCTACCTGATGACAATGGGGAGCGGACACGGTCAATGATCATTAGACACGTTTCCTTGCAATGGAGGATGGGAAAATCAACGATCGTTGGATCTTTTTCATAACAAATGAGGATAACAGGCGTCAGACTCCTCCCCCAAGGATTCTTTAGCAACGGAGAAAGGCACTGAACGGTATTAGTAGCAACAAGACTTATGGTGTTCTAGAACATTCGAAAGCTTTCCTTGATATTTGAATGGCTAGAATACATTCTATATAGTACAGTTTTTGATTTTTTCTCAGATAAAACTATACTCAAGATAATCAATATCAGTGTTTGTGAGCTTATCGAGAGGAATATAATAGTGCGTTGATATCTGCTATAGATAGAATGGATATATACAACAGACTTTTATGTCAGTTAGATCAATGGATCGAATAACAATAATGTTAAATTAAGAAAAACGGAATACGAAAATGAAAAGTAACAGAGATGAGATCGATTCGTGCTCTTTTTTTGGAATCGAATCGATCCCATCTTTGAAAAGTAACAAGACAAGCAAAAAATAGAGTGCTAATATAAATAGAAAAGATTTCTGTTTGAAATACAGAAATAAATGCAATAGATCATTTTCTTAGAGATCGATTATCCTTGAAAAATAACTATAGTGTGCTAGAAATGTTTCATATTGCGTATTTTGTATTAGTATAATGAGACTAAATAAGACATGTAAGTTCCACAAGGAGTAGCAAATTTTAAATTGGTACTAATTTTAAAATCTGTATATCAAAATTTCTACAAATTGAAACAAATCCTACGCATTTGAATTAATATAAATGTAATTATCTATTCTTTTGAATTCAGAAACCAGACATTTACTGTCTTGAAGATGGATGGAGGGTCAGTGTGATCGTAAGAGTACGTCATTAGGATAAAACGAATAATCGCTGCCACCGTAATCCGTAAAATACTACTATCTCAGCGAAATAACATTTCTTATCTTTTATCTCTGATACCGAGTCAAAAATTAGAGATCAGCAACCAAATATTTAGTAACGATTTTAGATTTGTCACGACCTCGAGTTCCACATATTCGTCCTAAAGTAGCTGCGCTGACGACAAGCTTTTTTCTTTTTTTACTTCGTTAATGTCATCATTGCATATAATGTTGCAAGTACAAACATAAGATGAAATAATGAATAATTATATGTAACTGATCCACGTTCATCATCATAAACTCGTTGATGACTATGTTCATCGCTACCTAACATCCATTTATTATCAGATACTGAATTAATTAATTGTGCATCATCCAATATAGTTGAATCAATTGATGGTGATAAAAATAATTTTTTTGCACGATTATTACGTGATGTTGCTATAATTGAATAAAAAATTGAACAAACAAATAAAATTAAACCAATAATTGTTATTGAATTAAATAAATGTTGTTGTCGTATTGGATTAGGATTGTGAGTTGTTGTTTTTATTATTGTTGTTGAATTTATTGTATGAAATTTTAAATTTATATTTGGATTACATATTTCATTTGGATTATCACTCATTGCAGACCATGTATAATATAATACATAGAGACAAACAAATGATGATTGAAGAAGACCACATGATGAATTATATTCTCTTACACATGGTAATATTGATATTATGGATAATATAATACATAAACATGTATTAAATGAAATAAAAAATGTATGTAAACGACAAATAGAATGATTAGGTGCATAATAAATATAAAGTAGAACAACTCCAGCTATTGTTAATGCATAAAAAAGAAAAGTAAAAAAAAGTAAACCATAACCATGTCGTTTTGAACCGGATTCAACCTGATCAACCCAAGATTCATTCCATCTAAAAAAAAAACAATGTTTTTTCTTTTTTAAATTAAATTTTGTATAAACTTAAAGATTCAAATTTCTATTTATTAGAAAGAATAAAATTATTTTTTTCAAAATTTAAATTAAAGATCAAGAATTTAAGATTGAAATTTTGAATGATGTATTTTTTACTTTTTCAAATAAATAGAAAAAAATCTTTTCACTTTATCGAACAAACAATTTTCTATTCAACTATAGACACTTACGAATGAACAAAATCAATTGATAAAAGTAATTGAACAAGTATAAACTAAAAAACAAAAATGAAATAAATTAAAATTTAAGAAAAATTAAATTTTTTAACTAACAATAAATCCTCCAATGAGTCCAATAATCATAAATGCATAATCAAAACTATTATGTGGAATAAAAAATGCTCCAATAATTAAACCAATAACTATTAATAACTTAAATGCCCAAAAACCATTTTGAATTTTTGCTCGAATATCCTTTGATGTTTTAACTTTTATCATCTAAATTAAAATCAATATAATCGAATATTATTTATTCATAAATAATAAACTTACCAATAATGATAAAATGAAAAAAAAACTTGACATACCAAGTGAAAGACGATAAACGGCTAGAGATCCAACTATTTTTAAACAATTAATGGATAAGGATCGTGTACCAGTTGGTATTAGTGTATTACTTGAATGTGGAGTTTGACATAAAGATGGAATTTTACTTAATATTTTCTCTAGACCAGGTATCAACATAACACATGACATTATGAGACCAACAAAAAGAATAAGACCATAAGCAATACGTGTTGATGTTGAACCTTTACACGATGGGCATGTCGAACAACAAAGTGAGCAAAATGCATTACCAAAACAACATGCAATTGATGAACCTATAGATCCAAGACAAAGACCCATCGTTCTATAGAGAATCAATATACAGATCTAAAAATATTTATCAAAATGATATATATATATACAGCGGTTTCCAAGATTATTCAACCAGGTTTATTTTCAATTCTTTTTTTGGCTGTTGTTAATGTTAATAAAAATCCAAATAATAATTTGAGTAGAACTTATATTAAACAGTAATCTAGTATCCAAAAGTAACGAATAGAGAAGGAAAAGAAAAAGAAGATAATATGAAAGTACGACTAGCAGATGATCTATTGAAGTGCAGTGAGATTAACGATAATAAACAGAAGTAGTAAATTAAATGATTGAATAATCGAACGGCAACATGTGTTTATTGATAATATTATTGTTATTGAATGAGTCAAACAAATGTATTTTTTGTTATCTAAAAAGAGATACCATACAAAGTTCTAATAGATGGATTTTGACGATCATGAAAAATCGATTGAAAATGTTATTTATCAGAAAAGTATTGCATAAATCTATTTTCAGTTAATTTTTCTTTCTTTTCCTAATTTCTAAAAAAACAAGTGTATAACAATGCATCGTTCTCTTCTTTTCAAACTGTAAGAAATCAAATAATAATCATCTTCTCTTTTTATTTCTTTTTTACGACGATTTTCTTTTTCAACAATTATCTTTTCAATGTTCTTATTGCTACTTTTTTTTTTCTCTTATAAATCGTCGTTAGACACACATAAACATCAACAATAATATGAAGAAAATCCGACATGATAAACAACAGAAAAAACACGTATGAGAATTTAGACGAAGACAGGGAAGAAAAGGACTGACATAAGACAAAAGAACAAAAAAACTTTGATGAACACGTAGACTTGACAAACATAAATCGACAATGACAACAAAAAAAGAAAAATAATATGTAAAACAGTCATTTAGAATAAATGTCAGGAAGAAAAACAATCGAATGAACAAAAAAAAAAGTAGTCGAAATAGAAGAACACAAAGAAAAGATCGGCTATTTGCCGGCTTTTGTTTTTGTTTTTTTTTTGTTTTTTTTTTTATAAAAAAAAAGAAGCAATAAGAGAAAAACTATTTTCATATCTTTCTCATCTGACTTAATCACCAAAATATAAATCTCAATGATCATTGTAAGAAAATAGAGAATATGGAAAATAATTAAAAAAAAAGGACACATACTCCATCTATCTTTTGTTATAGAAAAAAAAAAATATATATAGATCTGACTCGATTTGTTCATACTGATACGACTTCTGTTATTTGAAGTTGTTCTTCTTCATTAATAATAATTTCATGTTGTTGTTTTTCTAAAGATGTTGGTGGTGTTGGTAACCATGATAAACGATTGACAAGATTTCGAAACGGCCGATTATTTGCTATTGGTGGAATAAATTTCGGACGTTTTTTATAAACATTATCCTAAAATATTTAAATAAAATAAAATAAAAAACAAAAATATTCAAATTAAATTAATTTACAAGTAAATCCAAAGAGATATTATGTATTTGTATTGAATATATCTCATCGATAGGTATAGCAGGTGATGGTCGTGATGCTGGAACTGGTATTGACATTAGATTTTGACCAAAATAAAGTACATCAAAAAATGGTTTCATCCAATCACTGCATATATATAGATCATCATCATTTAAAGCTAAAACAAAACCAGACAAATGATCAGACAGAATATAATAAGCAGACAATCCTACAGATATTAAGAACTATAATGAATACCTACAGGGAAATTCTTCCAAGGAAATAAAGTAGCTGCGATGAACAATGGTTCTATGACATATACTCCCAGATAGTTAGCACTGCAACGATATGTGTTCCGTTAAAAAGTTCAAAATAATTTTTGAAGAGTTACAGGTTACTATAAGCTAAAATATTTATAAATCAGTGCAGGATTCAAAAAGCGATGGAAAGTTAATGAATCGATTTAGAAATTATTATCAGTCTCACTAAATTTTCGATTTCAATGATTTTTTTGCCTATAGATACTACATAGTGTTCTAAAAAAACCTTCAACAGGATTTGAATTCCTATTGAGATTTTAATGTCTATTTTCTAGAGGTCCCAGATTTTCGATAAACTCGTATTTTCGATTTTTGATCTGAAACATTGTGAATATAGAAAACTCAACTAGATTAATTTCCATAAAAAAATCCAGACGTTTTGAACAAAGACTCGTCGAGATATGAATAGACTCTTTTCCATGGATACTATGTACAACAGATGTTTTTTGAAAGCGTCATATCTCGAAGAGACGTTGTTCAAAGTTTCTGAATTCTTTTTTACGGAAGTCAATCTAATTGAGTTCTCTATATGCACAATGTTTCAGATCGAAATTCAAAAAAAAAACCGAGTTTTCCAAAAACCTGATGGCTTTAGAAAATAGACCTATTAAAAATTCCATAGCTTAGACGAATCTCAATAGGAACCGAAACACTTTTAGGATTTTTATTAGAACACTATGTAGTGTCTATAGGCAAACAACCATTGCAATCGAAAGGCAGCAGGTGGAACAGATTCTCTCGGAAATTTGTCTTCTGCATTCCATTGGCTGAATCTCGACCTAATCAACTAATGTTTTTTTTTTCAACTGAGATTTGACTTGTACATAACATTTTCCATCTTAATTGAATCGTATTTTAACTTACAAGTAATCTGTTCAACAGGCCAATTCGATTTGCAAGCAAGAATAGCTGTTGCAGCCAGTACATTCTTTGGAAATTGTGAATATTCAATATCAAGTGAACAAAAATCAAGTAACTAAAACAAAACAATTAATATATTTCTTTTATTTGAAAACAACAATTAAAAATAAATTTACTCGAACAACTAATGAAAATGTTTGAAGAAACATTGGTGTTCGATGTAGATTTGTTAACATTGAAGTTTTCAAAATTTCACTGTGTGATGATGATGATGATTTTTGAATAGTTGATATTGATAAACGTCGTTTTTTTATACAACGATCATGATGTGATGGTGTAACATTTGTTGGTGATGGTGATGATGTTAAACAATTATTCATCAATTCAATTTCTGGTTCAACTTGAAGAAAAGCTAATAACCAACTAATTGATGTCATTGGATTTATATACCAATTTAATATCTAAAAAATTCACAAAATTATTTCACATATATAAAAAAAAAACAACAACACTTACATTCATTATATCTAATTCCATATCAAGAATATCACTTTCATAATAAGCTTTATCAGTAACATATGCAAATTCAGATATACGTGGTGGATATATTTCCTAAGAAAAAAAAAAACAATATAGTTTTTATATAAGATAAATAATTGATATTTATATTTACTTCGATTTTAGCTGCAATAAATAGTGCAGTTATACCAAGTAATTGAAGTTTTGTTTTAGGTAAATTATTTGTATTACATAAATACTGATCAATATAAGCAATAGCTAAATGATATGTTTCTCGATGAAGATGATAAACTTCTGCAACCTAGAAAATATAATTTTTATGCTTAATACAAAAAAAATTTTTTTTTTTTTTTTTTCGTTTCTTTTACTTCAATAAGCCAATCACATAAAACACTTCGCATTTTAGTCGTTATAGCTGGATGTGCATCAAGAAAATTTGAATGACATTTGTATGTTTCATCAAATGTTTTTGCTATCATATTTGACCATAATGGATGAGAACGATACCATGGTAAAGGTACAGATGATAAATCAAGATGATCAATAATAATACCATCATCTTGACCATCTTTTTCATTATTACATGTAGATAAAGAATGTTTTGCCATAACCATTTCTAAATAGTATTCAAACTTCATTTTGATTGAAGTATTATATCATAATAAACATGTAGAAGACTAGAAATTAGAACTCATTGGATTCGGAACTAAGGTGACGGATCCTATTTGTCAGAGAAATGTGTGAGTGCGGTGGTCACTCAATACAAAAAAAAAGCATGTCGTATGTTTGTGGCGACTGTCCAATTTCAAGCAGAAAATTTCATTAAGAGTATCAAAGTATGATTCCGATTGAGTCTGGGTCTGAAAATTATGGATCCGATAAACTCTCCTATCGATACATTCGAATGAAGATTTGTTTAACTTATTCGATAAAAAAAAATGACAATGTTACAAGTCTACAACATAAATATGTAAGAATTCAGCCATAAAACATCAATCATTAAGAAACGAGTATTCATCTTTCTGGTGAACGGAAGTTCAATTGAATATTTGTTTTTTTGACTTCGAACGATGTATGACAAAGAGAAGACTCTCGATACTATACTTAAATGGCAGTGTCGTAGTCAGATTTGGTAAACCTAAAATCAATCTCCGAAATGTTGTTGTTATCTTTCTACTTCGTACGCTGCTCGATAAAATTAAATGAGTCAAGTACGAATGAAAGTTTAAAAACTAAAATGTATGCAAGACTAAGCGCTTTTCGATTGTAATAAATTTTTGTTTCGCTTAAGATTGTAGCGATTTCATCGGTCTTAGTGATTAATAACAAGTCTGCTTTAGTTTGGTTTCGTAGCTTTCTCTTGTCGAATGATCGACGTAGTACTTGATTGTAAGTCTATAAGTAGATCTTATAGTCACTGTAATTGGAATATTAAGATTATCAAAACTATCTTACTACGACAGTTTTTTCAATCAATATAAATATGAAATATATTATAAATCGACATTATTTTTCATAGAAATGTCACTTTCATCAACGAGTAGATTCTACATATCTATATCAATCAATTCTATTTGATAGTAATATAAACATTCTTTTATTTAAATATATTAGAACAAAAACATGAACTATAATTGTTTTATTCGATAGTTCTCTAGAATGTCTAATCATATTTCACTATACATCTAAACAATACTAATTCATTCGGACTATCATCACTAGTCTTTATTTTGTTTTTTTGTAATATCATACCAGATTGTTTATAATTTGTATGATTCTCTTTGTTACTGAGATTCTTATCAGCATTGTCTTGTTGCAACTAAAAACAAAGAAAAAGAATAAATA